ATATTTAATTTAAGAGGATAAATTATAATTCGATTCGGAGAAGCGGTAGATACAAGATACTATGCAATTTTTTCCATGTCATTTTTTAAGTAGAAAATGGCAAAAGCACGGTACTACAATTTTTTTTTAAAAGATTGTCCTGTTCAAAACATTTGAGAGAAGTCTTTTCATAGAACAGTTAAAGACGTGGGTCAAATATACAGGATCAGTCCCGCCAACATGTATGGCGCGACAACCCTCCACGTCAGCTTCCAGCATGTAGAAATGTTGACGACACTGGTTTCGTGAGCTCTATTTACAACTTCAATCCCCTCAAAACATTTGGCGGCTCTACTGGAGATTCGAAATTTGATTGATCTATAAGGCTAAAACCGTAATAACAAAGGCGTGCTTTGCTGTCAACGTGTGGTTCACGTAGTTACAATTTTATATTTTTTTAGCCCTTTCATTGGATTCAAATGCGTTTAAATTATTTTAATAAATAAATATTGGAAAAATTATTTGTTTTTTTAAATGATACAAATTGTGTCATTTCACTCTCACAAAGAGGTAGAACTTATTTTATTTTTTTTTGTCCACTCTCTTCCCATTTATCTATCTCTTTGTCTCACTTAAAATGACAAAATTTTACATCTTTTAAAATATACACATTTTTTTCATAAATATTTGACACTTTCTTAAAATATTTTATACAAAATATTATTTTCATCACTTTGTATAACACTCTTAATTTTTTTTTTTTTTTTTTTTGCTACAACAAATCATGTAAATCTGAAATTTTAAATATTTTATTGCAATTTGAATATTTTCACTTAATTTTTATACTTTTAATATTTTTTTAAATTATAAATGGATATTTATAGGTATGGAAGATATTCAATATTGCTATTATAGATTTTAAGAATTTATTTATAATTAGTAAATATCCGATTGAAAAATTATTTAAATTATAAAAAAAAATAGAAACATAAAAAATCCTAGTAAACGATAAAAAAATAATATAAAACAATACATGACATCTAATTTTTCAATTTAATTATATTATTTACATAATTCAATATTTGTTTTTTACAGAAAAATAAAAGAATGAAAAAATTATATCGATCTCATACTTAGCATGTACGCAACCTTTTTTTTTTTTTTTTTTGGTACATGAGCATGTACGCAACCTTTTACTCATAATATAATGAAACATTAACAAAAAATTTATTTTAAGGTTTAGATGCATGTATCACAATTACAAATAGAATCCAAAAACTTCAGGGAGCTAAAATGATGCTTGTGGTTAATTAGGTGGTAAGATATTGAAAATTTGAAAGGAAAAACTTCTATATTGGATTTGTTTGATACATTAACTGAATTTAACCACATAAAAATAAGACCAAACAGAACTAGCTAAATGAAAATAACATACATGCTATTATCTGAGTTCATGTATTAATTAAATAAAATGGGCAAACGAATGAACTTGGTCTTCTGTCCAAAAAATGTTTTCATTAACTAAATTTGTAACTGATATAAGATAACAATTTTAAATAATTATATACTTCAGTTTGAATATTTAAGGTAGTCTTTTTGGAAAAAATAAACTTTATTATTAGTATATATTTAAGGTAATCTTTTTGGATTCCTGCTGAATGCATTCTTGGGGAGGGGGCTGAACCTTTAGCCATCACTGCTCCCCCGCACTCCGGATTAGTCTCATAGTCGGCTCAAAGAGTCGAAGCTCGTGGGGATACCGGAGGGAGCCAACTCGCCTCAAAGAGGTAATTAGGGTTGGGTAACTCCAAAAAAGATAATCTTTTTGGAAAAAATAACTTTTTTGGAAAAAAATTACCTTAAATATTCAAACTGAAATATATAATTACCTTATATATTCCAACAAGTATATAATAAGAGTGTTATACAAAGTTATGAAATAATATTTTGTACAAAATATTTTTAGAAAGTGTTAAATATTTATGGGAAATATTTATGGGAAAAATGTATATCATTTTAAAAGATGTAAAGTTATGTCATTTTAAGATAGAGAAAGAGATAGATAAAGGGGAAGAGAGTGGACCAAAAAAGCACTGTTGTCAAACCCGGCCGACCCGGAACCCGGTGAACCGGTCATCAGACCGATTCGGGTTAAGCATTGGACCGGTCATGCATCGACCCGGTCAAACCCGGCCAAACCCGGTGACCCGGTCGGGTCATGCATTTAAAAAAAAAAAAACCAAAATTGTTTCATCTTATAAAAAAAATGTAAAACTCATTTTAACAACTTTTTATAATTTTATTTGCTAGTATACTCTTCTACAATGACCTCTTAGTTTTCAATACTAAAGCAATTTGTGGAATAATAAATTAGAGAATGTGACATATGTCATTTTAATGTAGTTGAATTTGAAAAATATGAGTTCAATGTCATTGAGAGGTATGTTTATGGAGATTCTGAGTTGCCATTTAAATTGTCATAGTAATAGCATGAACTTTTATTTATTTATGCTTCATTTTTTTAACTTATTTAGTGAACCTTGTTTAATTTATTTTAGATATGGAAGATATAATTGAATTTATATGTTCATATTTATATATATTTTTATATATCTATATATATCCGGGTCAACCGGTCCGACCAGTGATCCAGTAACCCAGTACCCCGACCGGGTCGATGCTCGGGTCGGGTTTAACAACACTGCAAAAAAGAGTAAAGGTGTGAGTCCATCTCTTTATGAAAGTGAAATAACATAAATTATGTCATTTAAAAAGATAAATTTTTTTTCCAATATTTATTTATTAAAATAATTTAAACGCATTGAATCCGAGGAAAGAGCTAAAAAAATATAAAATTGTAACTTTGTGACCCACGAGTTGACAGCAAAGCCTGGGACGCCTTTATTATTATGGTTTTAGCCTTATAGATCAATCAAATTTCGAATCTCCAGTAGTGCCGGCAAATATTTTGACGGGATTGAAGTTGTTAATACAGCTAACGAGACCAGTGTCGTCAACTTTTCTCACGGGATAGTGTCGTCAACATTTCTCGCGGGATTACATGTGTGGAAGGGTGTTGCGCTATACTTGTTGACGAGACTCATTTCGGAAATTTTTAATATATTCCTGTCCCTTCAAAGTCTTATCATTAAGGAGGTGACACATAAATTTTTTATTTTTTTTCTCTTCTCTCTCCTCAATTTCTCTTTCCCTCTCTCTCCTTCACCCCACCCAATCACCTGACCCGGGAGCGCCAAATTTAAGCTCACTAATTTCATATGTTTAACTAATGTCTTTAACTGTTCTGTTATGAACAAATTCTCAAATGCTTTGAACAAGACAATTTTTTAAAAAAAAATTGTAGTGCTGTGCTTTTGCCAGACTAATACAAAAATCACATATCATATTTCAGTCATACAATGGCGGAGGCAGGAATTTTGACGAGAGGGAGCGAAATAAAAAATATTATATCATAAATAAAAGTATTTGAAATACAATACAAATCTAATATACAAAAATTAAAAGAAATATATTACAAAAATTAAGATTAATTCACTTGACTCTTACTCTATGTGTTTTCATATTGTTAAACTCATCTATAATTGAATCCGTACTAAAACTCAAAACAATTTCTTTTTCAATGTATGAAATCAAAGAATCATCAAGAAATTGGTCTTCCATTCTATTTCGGAGCCTAGTCTTGATTATCTTCATAGCTGAGAAAGATCTTTCAGTAGTTGCTGTAGAAACTGGAAGAGTGAGTACAAGTCTAATCACTTTGTCAATAAGAGGGTAAATGATGGACTTTCCGATTCTTGCTAGCCCTTGACATAACTCAGATATAGTTGATAAATTAATCATATCTGGATGTTTAGGAATATCAAGCTCAAAATGTTGTAACTCCATCTTCAAATGCAATTTTTCTTGTTCTGTGAAATCTCTAGAATAAAATTTATCAACAAGTTTGCAAATATCATCACTATTAAATGACTTGTACCTGTTTCTTGGATCTAAAGCCATGCTCAAAGCAAGTAATTCAATAGTATTATCATTGAACCTGCTATTTAATTCTTGCAATTGATAATCAATTGTAGCACAAAAGATATTTACTCTATAAAACTTTTCAGTAGAAAAATCACCTTGTTCATTTCGAGCACGACCTCTTCTTCCAATATATTTTGCACTCATATCTGGAATGTCAATGTTATGTTTTATGCAAAAGTTTTGAACATGAACCAAAAAAGCATCCCAACCTGTCTCTCTTAATTTCTGAAGTAACTCTTTTGTAGTTGAAACCAGATGTAAAGCATTTGAAATATCTTGAGACTCTCGTTGCAATGCTTGACAAAGGACTTCAGTAATACCCATAATTTCCTTCATAAGGTGCAATATGATGACAAAATCAAAAGATGTCAACGATGAGTATGCATTATCGGCATCTCCACGATGTGATGCTATTTTTCCTTCATTAGAAATATTGTCAAGAACTTCACATGTGCTTTTAAACATTTTAAACAAACTGCATATGGAATTATAATGAGAACTCCAACGAGTAGCTCTACCTCGATGCAAAGTACCAATCTGATTAAGACCAACTCCTGATTCGAGTTCATCAATAGCAATCATTCTTGCAATTTCAATTTTTTGGGCAGCCTTTAATCATCATTACGCTTACAAGAAGAAGTAACAATATTAATTATGAAGTTCAATTTTTCAAAAAACTGATGAACATGTTTTACCTCATGAGATGCAGCAACCAAGGCAAGTTGAAGTCGATGAGCTAAGCAATGGAAATAATAAGCATATAGACACTCAGCGCAAATTAAAGCCTGCAGTCCATTCCATTCACCTCGCATATTGCTAGCTCCATCATAGCCTTGTCCTCGAATATTTTGAACGTCAAGATTATGGTGACGAAGAGTGTTGAGTATTCCTTGTTTCAAAGTCTTGGCACTTGTATCTTCCACATGTACAAGACCGAAAAATCTTTCCCGTATAAAACTATATTTATCTACGAATCTCTAAACAATAGCCATATGCTCCTTTTTAGATACATCACTAGCTTCATCAACAATAAGACAAAACTTGGCATTAGAAATTTCTTCTCGTATTGTTTTCTTTACCTTTTCAGAGAAAACATGAAGAATTTCCTTTTGAATTTGAGGGGAACTATATGATGCATTTTGAGGAGCTTTTTCTAAAACAACTGCTGCAACTTCTTGATTATAGGAAGCTAAAAAATTTATCATCTGAAGAAAATTACCGCGATCAATTGAATCTAAGCTTTCATCATGACCTCTAAAAGCACATCCTTGAAGAACAAGCCATCTTGTCACGTCCACAGAAACTTGTAGTCTCAAACGATTAGTTGCAATCTCCAGAGAAGTAAGTTTTTCAACGAATGTCTCAATATGTTGAGATTGATTCATAAGATCACTACATGAACTCACAGTATTTTTATGCATTGAGATAATATTTTTCCCAACATGGCGTAGAAAAGCACAATTTTCTCCATTTCTAAATCCCTCAACAACAAATGTATTAGCTCCAGAACGACCATTGCCACATGGTTTACTAAATAAATAACATGGCAAACAAAATGCAGCATCTTTAGATGGAGAATACTCTAACCAAGACGGAAACAAATCAAACCAAGAAGAGCAAAAATGACGTCGATTCTTTGGCCCAAAGAAAGGATAATTTTGAAGCTTGCACTGAAATGGACCAAGTTTAAGATAAGCACGACGAATTTCATCTTGTTGATTTATAGGATATTTCCATATTGGAGGACGTAGTGCAGGATTTCTTTCCAATGAAGCAAGATCAACTTCTTTAACTGCCTCTTTATTTTCAATTCTAGGAGACTTTGAAGAAGGAGTCTCAGTATTTGACAATTCAACATTAGGAGTAGACGAGGGCAAAGACTCACTATTCTTTCTCTTAAAATAAGAATCAATAGTAGTATTATGAACGGATAATGAAGAGAGGAGAGAAAGGAAGCTCATCATTGTAAATTGTAGAATGATTCTCATTGATTAAGAAATGTAACAGATACATATATTTATACAGAATAATGTTAGAGTTAACTAAGCAAGTAACCATAGTAACTAAGTAACTGTAACTAAGTAACCGACTAACTAGTAATTAAGTAACTGACTAACTAATAATCAGTTGCACTTCACGTGAATGACGTTATGACTGTTATGGCACTTCTCTGTATTTGAATTCAACTTCTCTGTATTTGAATTCATATCCAATACCCCCCCACAAGCTGGACGGAGGAGATCACGTAGACCAAGCTTGCTTAAAAGTAGATGAAAAGGGCGAGGATGGAGAGACTTCGTGAAGATATCAGCTAGCTGTGCAGATGAGGAAATAGGAAGCAAATGAATGGTACCATCATTGATGTGTTCCCTTGTAACATGGCAATCTATTTCAATATGCTTTGAACGTTCATGGAATGCCGGATTCTTAGCAAGGTATATGGCTGAGAGGTTGTCACAGAAGATAGATGCTGGTTTGGAACATGATACTTGTAAATCGTGTAGTAAGAACCGAAGCCACTGAATTTCACATGAAATAGATGCTAAAGCACGGTATTCAGCTTCAGTTGATGATCTCGAGACTGTGTGTTGCTTCTTCGAACGCCAGGATATGAGTGAGCTACCCAAAAAAACACAGAGACCTGAAACTGATCTCCTAGTGTCAGGGCAACAAGCCCAATCACTATCTGCAAATCCTGATAGGAGTAGAGAGTTAGAAGAAGAAAAGAAAAGTCCTTTTGCTGGTGAGCCTTTAATGTAGCGAAGGATACGGTGAGCTGCTGCCATGTGTAGAGCAGTAGGAGAAGATACAAATTGACTTAATTGATGCACAGCAAAAGACAAGTCTGGCCGAGTGGTAGTGAGATACAACAAACGACCAACTAAACGGCGATAAGGTTGAGGATCAGGGAGAACATCAGATGAATCTTTAGCACGATGAAGTTTGGCAGTTGGTTCCATGGGTGTGGAAACCGATTTGCAACTTAACATACCACTATCAGAGAGAAGTTCAAGTGCATACTTTCTCTGATTTACAACAATTCCAGCATGTGAACGAGCCACTTCTAATCCAAGAAAGAAACGAAGGTCACCCAAGTCCTTTATTTTAAAACAGGAATCCAGATATGACTTGACTTTATTTATTTCATCCAAGTCATTCCCAGAAAGTAAAATATCATCTACATAGATCAAAAGGGCTGTGAAAGAGGAAGAGTGTTGTTTGATGAAGAGAGAGTGATCTGCATGAGATTGTTTGTATCCCAAAGAAACTAAAGAAGAAGTCAGTTTCGCATACCACTGGCGGCTGGCTTGCTTGAGTCCATACAAAGACTTTTGAAGTTTGCATACTTTGGGAAGTTTTGATTTTGAAAATCCATCAGGTAAGGCCATGTAGACTTCTTCCTTGAGATCACCGTGCAAAAATGCGTTGTTAACATCGAGTTGCATGAGGTGCCATCCTCGAGCTGCTGCAATACTCAACAGAACCCGTATTGTAGTCATTTTAGCAACTGGTGAAAACGTGTCCATGTAATCGACCCCTTCCATTTGTGTGTACCCCTTAGCAACCAGTCGTGCTTTGTACCTTTCTACACTCCCATCAGCTTTGAGCTTTACTTTATAGACCCATTTGCAACCAATGATATGTTTATTCAAAGGACGATCAACCAAAATCCAGGTTTTGTTTTCTTCAAGTGCAGAAATTTCTGCCTCCATAGCTTTTCTCCAACAGTCTTCTTTTGATGCTTGAAGATAAGATTTGGGTTTAGTATGGATGATGGAGTTGCAGCAGAACCTAGTGAAATTGGCAGAACATTTGGCATAGGACAAGACATCAGATAAGGGAAATCGGGTATGGTTTGAAATGGGTTCAGATAAGGAGGTATGGCAGTGAAAGTCATGAAGGTATGGAGGTGGGTTTCTTGGACGTGTAGACCGCCGTAATGACACTTCTCTGTGTTGTGCATCACGTGGGTTAGGTAGAATATTAGGTGAGGGTTCAGTCATAGGAAATTGAGATATAGGTAAGTGGGGTGCAGCATTAGGAAGTCCAGGTGTAGGTATAGGTGGGTCAGGTTGAATATTAGGTTGAGTGAAAATTCTAGTGTGTTGAATTGGCATATCATATTCGGGTGGATTAGGAAGAGATATGGGAAAAGTAGTTTGGTTACTGTTGTCCTTGAAAGGAAAGCATTCTTCATAGAAGATTACATTGCGAGATGTAAATATCTCCTTAGACTTTAAATCATAAAGAACATAGCCTTTAACTCCATCTTTGAAACCAAGAAGTGCACACTTTCTTGCACGAGGAGAAAATTTTCCACGATGAGCAGCAAGGGTGCTAGCATAACTGAGACAACCAAATACCCGCAAGTTATTGAGCATAGGAAGACTGTCATATAACATCATATATGGGCATTTGTTATCAAGTAAAGGAGTGGAAATTCTATTAATGAGGTGTGCAGCATGTGTAATTGCAAAACACCAGAATTTGATAGGTAGTTGAGCTTGAAAAAATAAAGCTCGTGCCACATTTAACAGATGTTGGTGCTTTCTTTCTACTCTCCCGTTCTGTTGGGGAGTTTCAACACAACTCCTTTGATGAACAATTCCCTTGTGAAGATAATAGTCGGTCATGAGAAATTCACAGCCATTGTCACTACGAAGCACTTTTATTCTCGCATTGAATTGAGTTTCTGCATAAGTAATGAAGTTCTGTAGCCTTGTACGCACATCTGCCTTGGTCTTTAACAAAATTATCCATACAAAGCGAGAAAAGTCATCAACTAATGTAAGGAAAAAATTGTGACCATGAACTGAAGGTACTGCAAAGGGACCCCATATGTCTGCATGTAAAACATCAAAAATTTTATTACTTTTGGTATTGCTAACAGGAAATGGTAGTCTGCGCTGTTTACTGATATGGCAAGTGTCACATGGCCTTACATCATTGCAAGAAATGAAAGGAAAGGACTTAGACATCTGCCTTAAAGATTCAAAAGACAAATGACCTAGTCGAAAATGCCAAAGTTTAGCATTATTCAGTTTCTGAGTTACAAGTACTGAACTCTTATTTGAAAAATTAAAATTCTTCAAAGCTTCTTGTGAGCAATCAAAAACATAGAGACCTCCCTTGACTTTAGCTATACCAATCTTCTTCTTGGTATCCACTTGCTCAATGAGACATGAAGTCTTGGAGAAGGTTAGGCTACAGGGAATTGAATTAACAAGCTTTGAAACAGATACCAAATTCACCTTGAAAGCAGGAACATATAAAACGTCTAACAATGTCAATGAATTAGACAGATAAACTGTTCCCGAAATAGAAGTGGTTACACGAATTCCATTTGGAATCATGATTGAAACTGGAGTAATCTTATGAACTGAGCTAAACATTGAGATCATGGAGCATATATGATCTGTAGCTCCTGTGTCCAAAATCCAGCAACTAGGATTATTACCTGATGGAATACTCGAATTATCTGGTTGTGAAGTATTTGAATTCACAGCTGTGACCATGTTTGAAGAATGAAACGAAGAATCCTCCTTCTCCATTCCAATTTGAGTATATTGCAGAAGATTTATTAGTTTCTGGTATTGTTCTTGTGACAAAGAAACACCTAACTTTTGCTCATCATTTTGGCTTGAATTGATCACATTTGTATCAGACTCTTGCTGTATCAGGTTTGCAACAGTATGCTGTTTGGGAAAGTTGGTTTTGTAACCAGGAGGGAATCCGTGAAGTTGATAACAAGAATCAACCGTGTGGTTGGTTCTCCCACAATGAGTACATAATTTTGTGCCACGCACTTGATTTCCAGTGGTATGTCCACGTCCCTGACCTCCATTATTAGGTCTTGATCTACCTTTCTCAAAAGGTTTCCTGCCATAGTTAGTTCCATTATGAAAAGAATGAGACATCAAAGAATATTCACCTTGAGGAACCGATTGAATCTGCCTTTCCTGTTGAACCACCAAGGAAAAGGCTCTGCTAACATGAGGGAGTGGATCTATCATCATAATTTGAGACTTGACATGAGCATATTGCTCATTCAGTCCTTTAAGAAATCTCACCGTCTGATCCTGGTCTTTGTGTGTCCTTATGAGTTCAAGAAGACCACAGTTGCAGGTAACAACACAGTGGCATATAAGCATAGGGCGAAGATTGTCCAACTCATCCCATAAGGACTTTAGCTCTGTGAAGTAGTCAGTGACATTCATTTCACCTTGTTGGAGCTTGTAAACATCTTCTTGAATATCAGATAATCTAAATATATCTGACTGACTGAATCGATTTTTTAGATCAAGCCATACATCAAAGGCTCTATCCATCCAAAGAATAGATTTCTCTATTGAAGGACTGATGGATCTGTGAATCCATGCAAGAACTGTTGTGTTGCATCTTTGCCATGCTACAAACAAAGGATCATTGATGGCTGGTGGAGCAATGGATCCATCTATAAATCCAAGCTTGTTTTTGGATAATAGTGCCATGCTCATAGCCCGCGCCCAAGTGTGGTAGTTCTTTCCACTCAAAGGAGGATTAACAAGAACTAAAGATGGATTTTCATTAGAATGCAAGAAGAAAGGATGACCAGGATTCGTCAGAAATTCTGGAATTGGATCTGCCATTGTTTTGAAGAACAGATCGAAGAAAAAGGAAATCAAAAAAGAATTAGATGCAGCGGAAAGGTGGATACCAGAGCTTGTCACAGCTTTGATACCATATTATGAACGGATAATGAAGAGAGGAGAGAAAGGAAGCTCATCATTGTAAATTGTAGAATGATTCTCATTGATTAAGAAATGTAACAGATACATACATTTATACAGAATAATGTTAGAGTTAACTAAGCAAGTAACCATAGTAACTGTAACTAAGTAACCGACTAACTATAGTAATTAAGTAACTGACTAACTAATAATCAGTTGCACTTCACGTGAATGACGTTATGACTGTTATGGCA